CTCGTAAGTACCCACACTCGTCTCCCTTTTTATACCGCCTCATTTTTGCTTTACTCTCTTTTTTGTTTTCCGAACACACACACACAAAAGATACTTATTTTACAATTTCCATAATTTAGTTTTAGTTCCTTTTGTTGCGAATCTACCTCATTAATAATTCCCTCTTCATATTTGACCGAGTTCGTCAGGAGATTCTGGTTCATTGTCATTTATGTACTTTTGTTTTTTGCATAAGATACGAGAGTGTATGCACGTTTTCCCTACTGCCATCCATAATGCTATTGATTTATCTGTCATTCTTAGATTTGTTGCTTCGTTGGCTGATTTAACAAATGTATCTTTCGCTTACAAAGTAACAACACTCTTACTAACACTAAAAAAGCTATTTACAAATAATCTAGGCGGCGGAGTTCATTTCAAAAACTCATCAGTACACAGCGACTATAGCCAGTTTTGTATTTGAATTTAATATGAAAAAAGTTTTTTAGTAAATTTTAAAAGCTCTCTCTGGTTTAACCACTAGTTTAAACCAGTGACGATCGAAGAGAGCTCTTACTCTGTGCCCGTTGCAATAAATCATAGATTTTGCGTAGAATAGTTATCTTGAAAGCTTCGAAAGCTTTCTGAACTTTATTTGTCAAATAAACTAAAAAACAAAATAAAAAGTTATGTGTATAAAAATTTTAAAAGTTCAAATAAAACAAAAGTCAACTAAATTTCAAGTACAATAAGATAATTGTGTTGTAATTGTGTGTTGTTGTTAGTTAATCGTCCATAAAGTATGGCGCCGAAATTTATAAAAGAATTGAAAAGATACTTGTACGTTTCAACACATTTATGTAGATATGTGCATATGTATAAATTTTCGTTTGAAAACACATTGCAAGTAACACAACAAAAGCAAGTAAAAGCATTGCGCTTTCAAGCAGATTGCGTGCATTCCATTTCAAAGTACATACAACCGCTCTGCTCTCACTGCAATGCCTTATAAAGTACAGCGGCCAAACTTGCCTTGTTGCTGTGTCGTCAATGAAAATATAAATTTTTTGTTTGCGAAATATTTTTAGTTTAATTTTGTGCAATAACTTGCTGCTGCAATTATAAGCAAATTTGTAAACTAATTTTTGTTTTCTTCTTCCTTTCTTGCAGTGGTGGTGGAACACAGGCTGCTGGAACATCAGGTGCCGGTGGTGGGGGCGGCGGCGGAGGTGGTGGAGGCGGAGGAACTCGAAACACAACCAGTTCGGGCAACATGTATGCCACCCGCCAAGCTGTAGGCGCCTCAACGGGGGTACTTATGGTCGGACCAAATTTTCGTGTTGGTAAAAAAATTGGCTGTGGTAATTTCGGAGAACTGCGTTTAGGTGAGTGTGTGACGCAAAAACTAAAATAGAAAAACTAAATTGAAATTAAGTGTGAAATGCTATTTATGTACATTAGACTGCATAACAAAAAAAAAAAATTCAGTTTTTCCGCCGGGATTACAAAATTTGTTATATTTTAAGACGTCCACCAAAATATTTCGGAAAAATATTAAGATTTACGTGAGCTGAAGTGATTTGAAAAAACCTCCAAAAATGGAGTTTTTTTTTATGAATAAAAATAGCTTCTTACATATTTGTTTTGAAAAAGTACCCTCAGATGACAAAAGGGTTTAAGCCTAAAAAATTTGAATTTGTAGTTTTATAGTCCGTTCAATTCTAGTATGACAAAATGCAAGTTTAAAGCTGCTAGAACTAGATATCGCGTTGATTGTTGGTATTTTTTTTTTTTTTAAGTGGAAGTTGTTGCTCATTTTCCCCATACAAAAAATAATTGTCGAATATACCTTGTATGGAAGAACTTGCGTAAAAAAAATTACCAAAAATCAACGCGATTTTCTAGCGACTTCAAACTTGCACGTATGCAAAATTGCATACTTAGAACTTTTCTAAAAAATCTGTATAAAAAGTTGCAAATTAGTGTGCAAATTTAATGAATTTTCCTGAGTTTTGCACAAAGTTTAGAGATTTTATTATTATGTTTTCTGGTGTAGAATGAACAATATTTTTATAAAAAATTATCGAAAATATATTAGAATAAAAAACTTTGCATATATTGCGAAAAATTCACTGTGCCAATACTTCTGTTCGGCACTGTATGTACATTTGTGTATGTGCTGGGTGGATGGACTTCCTTTTTGGTTACACGTGCATAGTAGGCCACTCGAAAGGCTCGCAACAATGTCGTGCACACATATACACACATGCGAAACGTACGTAGGGTGGCAGGAAATCAGCACTTAATTTAAATTGACAGTTGAGTAGATTTTTATTCTACTAAATATTTGATTGTTATTCGAAAAATAATTGTTAGTTTAAAAATAAACGAATATACTTAGGAGAAACACAGCCCACGGAGGAGGGAGAGTACTGCCTGCGCGCGCACTCCCATGCCTGCAAGTGTGCAAGTTTGTGGGACCGGCCACTTGAGTTGATTGCCTGACAAATGTTGATATTCGCATTCTAATTTAGTTCAATAAAATGTGCCTAATAAATGCAAAACGTCATGTACTAGCTATTAAAAATTTGCATAAACGACGGTACATATTATAAAAAGTACATATGTAGCGCAGGCTCATGGCACATATTTGTGCGCAGCGAAAATATCCCTATGAGAGCGTCATAATTTTCATCAACAGTTAGGAATTACTCAGAATTGATAAAATAAAAAATAGAAAGCAGAGACCATAACGATTACAAGAAATAAAATTAAATGTTGCTGTACAATTATTACTGAACAACGGAAAAGTGGGTTTCATTTCCTGAGATGAAAATCGTTAGCCTAAAAACTTTTTCATCTTCTCCTAATAATTACACGGGACTTTTATATGTTTTACCGTCTCGCGAGAAATTTATTTCGAGATGGAAATGATTTGCGTCTTCTCTTAATAATTATACGGGATTTTCATTGTAATGAAACTTCTTAACTGAGTTCGGAGATTTAACGCCACGATTTTTCATGTCATCAAATCTGTATCGTTCGTTCGATTTTCAAAACTGAGGTGTCAAATTAAAGGGCTTTGCCTTTACGTGGTTTTAGTTTTTTGGAAAGGGTTGCCAGACGTTAGAAAACCAAATTCAAATAAACGAGCTCGGAGATATTTGCGTTTAATTTCGTAAAATCGGCTGTACGTGTAACAATTCTAAGAAGAAAACGTTGGCCGTAAATCATTTTCGTCTTAAAATAAACGTCCCACAACATGAAAAAAAAATCACATATAAATAAATCAATTACGTCTTGAAATAAACGTCCCTGCGAGATGAGAAAAATAAAAATTATGTGGGAAGACGTAAATAATCTCCATCTGAAAATAATCGTCCCGCGAAATGGAAAAGGTATTTCTCATACATAAATAATTATTATAAAAGACGAAATACAGTTTTCTTAAAACAAGGCGACTTTTCCGATCCCAAATATTAGGATAGATAATTGTTTTGGGTATTTTTAAAACTAAAATCCTCTGGACATAGACTCAAAAATTTGCTGGTTAGTATTTGAGTAGTCGTATGTACTTCTACATCCATTTGAAACACTTTCGCCGAAGTCGCTGACTTACATATGAATGTCAAAAACAGTGCTTTAATTTTAATAGTTTTTTTTTATTGTTTAACTACCCATTTTAGGAAATACTTTTACATGTTGACTCGTTCGTTTGGTAGGCCTTCATATCCCAAACAAATTTCAAACTCGCGAAATCCGCTGTACGGTTTTTACTTAGTCGTAGAAAGATGGATATTAACTAAAATATAATACATTCAGTGCAGTTAGCTTTTAAAATTTCCGAAAAAATGTGTGTGGGCAAATAAATATTAAAACCTTCTTGAGAAAACGGTTACTTTTTGTGACGTTCTTGCATACAACGAGCAGTCGTTTTTCCCATTACCATTGCCTTGACAGCTGTTTGCCGGCACACATGCACACACACGTTCTGCTGTATGTAAATTCAACTCGATTTACATTGTTTGAGTTGTCGTTCTTTGAACTTGGCACTTTTTTGTTTATGTTTTATTCTGGCCTTTCTGTTGCGTTATTTCCCCGTTTCAGAACAGCCTCGCTTTCAGCTGTTTGCTTCTGCATATTTCCTCTTTCATTGTTTTAATCTTTGTCTTCTTACTTATTTCTTAATTGTTTTCTGATTCTTTTTTCTGATCTGGTGTCTTTGTTCACTCTGCTCATGTATACTTTCACTACTGCTCATGTTGCAACATGTTTTCATGCATTATTTTATTACTCATTTGCTTATTCCGAGAAGCGCTTGAAATTTCATGTATTTTTTATTATTTTTTGGTTGATCTTTGTCGCTTGATCTTTCAGCTGGTGTCACATTTTATTATGTGTGGAATTGTGAAATTCGAACAAGTGAAGATAAAAAGGTTAAGCTGGAGTTTGAATTTTTGTATTTGTTTGTATTTTGTTAACACATAAATACTGTTACTTCCCAGAATAACCAGCAGCTACCGAGTGTGGAGTTGAGATTAAGCGTTGTTTATCTTCAATTAGAGTAAATGTCACGGAATATTTCTAAGCTGGGCTTTTTATGTTTGTATGTATACTTAAGTAGTTGCTTCCGACAACCTCAATTTTTTTATTTGTCTCAAATTTTAGATTACTAAATATTGTTTGTACCATGCTTTATACCATGATAAAAACATAGCAAGGTATAACCCCTGCAAACAAAAGTTCCCGAAATCTTAACGAAATCTTTAGGAGTATCTGATTTCTGTAACGATTTTTTTCCGAATCTTCAAAGAAAATTATATGAAGTGGTTGACACGAACTCGTATAGAAATTTCTGTACGAAAAATAAAGAAAATTCTGAAAAAAGTCTGCAAGAAATTCTTCACATAGCAGCATTATTTTCATTTCTTTACCGATTTTCTTCCGAAATTTCGGGATCTTTCCGAATTCTTTAAAAATTCTTTACGATTCAGAATACTATGAAAAAATGGTTTGCAGGGACCGTTCTCTCAATTTGTCGGCCATGATTTTTTTTTGAAGTTTGCCAACATTTTAAAATCATATAAAAGTGAAAATAAAAAATTGAAATTGTACGAAATTGTTGTTGCTTGAGATTGAAAATGAAAATGTGTGTGTGCGTTTGTGAGTAAATTTAAAAATTAAATTGTTTGGAAACGTCAAGAATTTTAAAAGTGACTCTCAGCGGTTCTACCTTACTATATTTTTATCATGCTTTATACGTTGGAAAAAGTGAGCGGAATTTGAGCACATTTTTCTTGTGGGTCGGCTTTGCGCCGACAATATGGCTCCACGTCGGACAGCTGGTTTATCAGCGTAACTATAACTATGCCCAATGCAGTGTATGTCAGGCGAAAGTGTCGCTCAAAAGCCTACAGAGAGGAAGTGGGCTGACAGGCTGTCCTGAAAGCTGTGGTCTCACACATAGACCCTGCAAAGTATCTTACAGAATTCCGTAGTTATTTGAGAACGAGATGGCCCAGAACTATAAAATACCACTCATATTAGTGCTTGTATACCGGATTATGGAGGGTAATTGCAAAGCTGGCAAACTGAAAAAAGGGACGACCGCCCACATTCTTCTCATCCACCTTTGAAACAGTTTGTTAGAGATGACATCATTCTAGGTTTAAATGATCTCTTAAATACCCTTTCAGCCTGGATTACCTGCCGTTCCTACGTAAAACAGGATATGCACATCGTTGTAGGCCTACACGCCAAGAGAATAAGAGTAGACACATTGTCGCAGTTGCGAGAACATATCGTCGCCCGGATAAATAAATGTCTTATGAGAAAATTGGACTGAATTAAACAGGGAGCGAGAACGCGTTCCAGTTTTGGTTTAATTCTTCATGAGAAGAAAATTTAATGCCAAGAACGTTCCCAAAAAGGAACCAAACGGGAACAAAAGTATAGAGAGCAGTTTGAATGGAAAAAAATTAGAAAAGGTTAGGAACGTTCCCAAGAAGGACATTATGAGAACGAAACTTCCGTAAATGTTTCCAATGAGAACGAAAGTTTCGAGAACGTTTTCAGGGAAGATCAAATCGATCCCTTTGCGCAGAATTATCGGATGTTAAATTTTTGATGAAATGTTTTACACCCAGGGTAGGCAGTGCATTTTTGAGAATTCCCCGATTTCGACAATGAAATTCCCCGATTTTTGCCGAAGTTTTCTCGTTATATGAAAGCAAATGCGACAAACAATATTCTAAAAAATTAACGGTAATTTTTGGCCATTTGAAACTTTATTATACTAGAATTAAATGAGCTGAAACTCCCCGCAAATCGGGGAATTCCCCGCGAGTTGGGTTCCATGTTTACACCCCAGAACGCATCACCTGTT